TCTGCAAATGGTTAGACTTTCTAGTCTTCTCGGATAGGGACGATAAATGGAGGTCCCGTCTCTTGCAGGGTTGGGGTAGGAGACGTTAATTTGCCACACACGAGATTACTGTGTGATGGATGTCCTCCCGGGGTGGGATGGGTGGGTAATAAAAGAGGTTAGGTGTCAATTGGAACGAAAGTTCTCTTCCTTTCTCCTGCATTCCTGTGGCGAATAAATTAAACTTAAACTAAACTTTAACTAAACTATAATTGCAAAATTCAAGGCTCTTGATTGGTGAACAAATTCTCCTTGTCAGCACCTGAAGAAATGTATATAGAACAGCATGGAGAATATGCGTTCTGATGTTTGGGTGTAAAGGGTCAACAACTGACGAGAGAGAGAGAGAGAAAAGGCTCTCTTCGTGCACATTGCTGTGGTAGAGTGACTTACTAAAACCGGTAAAGGGTGAAGGTAAGTAAAGCAACAAACCACATTTGTTGGATAACTTTGGTGTTGTTTACACGAAGTGCGTCGTTAATGAGGACATTCTTCACACTTGAGATATTGACTTATGAGGAAAAAAATTCATAATCTTTTATTTTTAACATTGCTTTCATTTGAGTTGCGCTAAATTGGCCAACCTTCGGCCAACAGGCAAGTTTGAAGAATGATTCAAATTAAATTTTCATTGTGTGTGTGCTCTCTAATGGAGCCATCCTTTAAAACACACCAAGCATATTTGGTTGAATGACCGCGTGTATATCGGTTATCAGGTATGATTCTGAATTATTTAAATTATAACATTTCTACTGCACAAAATAAGATGTATAAATATGATAAAATACGCATAACCACAAAAAAAGAAATTCTCTAAGTGACCTTGTACTGAAGCAAACCTTATACATCCCATCCTACGAACGAGTTTATGATTAAAATCATGTATAAAAGTACATTTACACATTACTTTACATTGTGCAACATCCCTACGTCAGTTGCAAGTAAGCTCCAGTCTCTTCACAAATGATGACGAGAAGGCATCGTCTTAAAATACTGAGTGAACACTCATTATCTATCGCCTGAGGGGACTGGGGTGGAAGATTTTTTGCGGGACCAAGTGACGAACAGAGTATAAAGGGGGACTTAAGAAAATTGACTGCTGATTAACTGCCAATAAAAGAGGGGGGAGGGGGGAGGTGGGGAGATCATAAGAACATTACAGAGCCTTTAATATAATTTTATCGAGACAGCCAAATACCCAAATCCCACCCCCCCTCCCTTTCAGCTTTTCAAGTCTTAAATAATAACCGGTCCTCAAGGCTGATTAAGTATTCGCGTTGCTTTTGTTTTTTGCCTTAGCTATGTCCCTCCATTGTCGTGAAGGTCTATTTCATTGGGATGGCCACAGTCTTCGAACTCCTCTGACTCAGCCTGAGACGGAACTCCATCACAAGGTACGCGATTACAAAGGTGCCCAGGAGAGCGAACCAAACGGCCCATGCGGCAACGGGGGCCACAGCAAGAAGGAGTCCCAGAGAGATGTTAATCAGGGCCAGAATGAGACCAAGACGACCGATATTTTTGTGTACTAACTCCCAAATGAATCGGCCAGTTGATCTTGAGCCATCCGGATGTTTGTGAGGACGCCTGAAACAAATATATCAGAAACTAAATATTCATCAAAATTACATGCTCATTTTAATACTTACTGAAAACCTGTACTATTCGTAGAACTTACCACTCTGAGATGAGGTATAGCGTATTGTTCGGTCATTGTTGCCATACAGTTTGAAGTTGTTTGGAGGTATCTCTGAAGTTCGGTAGCCAATTAGCAAATAAACCCCTTCGGGCGGCTGGTATGTCGGCTGATAATGTCCTCGACCGAGAGATTGTCCAAAAAATGAATATTTGGCCGAGAAGTGAAGCTTCGAGGGCAAATATGAAATTGTGAGGACAATCTCTCAGCCAAGGAAATTATCAGCCAACACCAGCAAGCCAGAAGGGGTTTATTTATTTTATAACTCTTCCATTAATTTTCAAATTGCAATTAAACTGCGCGTAAACACAGTAAAAAAGCCAATGGTGATCTGATGGCGAATGCGCGTGATTGACGCGAGCGAGCAAAAAGAAAAACGAGTTTGGTTTCCTTCCATGTAAATAGGAGAACGGAAAAATTGAAACTCTTTTGTTGACTATGTTTCTTTTTCACGGAAAAAATCAGAGGATAAATATCGACGCGGACGGGGGTTATTGCGTGATAACTGTCTTGTGATTTTGCACCACGTGATGTAAAGTAACCAATAAAATCGCGCCAAAATTAATGGAAAAATTGAAACTCTTTTGTTGACTATGTTTCTTTTTCACGGAAAAAATCGGAGGACAAATATCGACGCGGACGGGGGTTATTGCGTGATAACTGTCTTGTGATCTTGCACCACGTGACGTAAAGTAACCAATAAAATCGCGCCAAAATTAATGGGTGGGTTATAAGTAACAAATATCATATACGAGATATGACTAGTTACGTTGCACATGGTGAGTGATAATCAGAAAGCAAAACTAGCAAACGCCATCCGTGATAATTCAGCCATCACATTAAGACTGGCGCATAATGCACTAAATGGTTCAGATGAATTGATGCTGACAAAGACACAGATAAAGAAGATATAGAAAAAAATGCATGATAACGAAGGTGTTTACATCAAAATATCTAAACACAAGTGAGAAAATTAAAGTAGCAAGACAAGGTGGTGCACTATTTGGCTCCCTGTCGTTGGTTTATTGCCAAAACTGGCACCAGTTGCAATGCTATTGGCTAAAAAAACTGCATAAGCACCAGCAACAGGTGCTCCAAGTGGTTTGAGTGGTGTAACAATGAAATTGATATTTGGAAAAGGCATGATTGGTGGTAGTTGTATGATTTGTCAAGCCTCCCTAAAAGCATGTTGACGCCAAGTCAGAAAGCAGACCTTGAAATGACTGTGCAAAATCAACATGAAATAAAAATAATGCCAAAAAAACATAGCGCGGTGGTCTGCTTCGAAGTGTGATTGTATCAATTGGTTACCTTTTCTTCTCAAAGCATTGACAGACCGTGGTCTGCAGGTAGATGGTGGAAGACGAAGAAGGTCAACTAATGTTTTTGTACTCCCTGCAGTAAAAAAAAGGCGGTGACCTCAAGGATCTACTTTACAGTCCTGGTTTTAATTACAATGCCAGAATGGATATGCTCAAAGTATTGAGCAAAGGTTTGCAGGGAGAT